ACAAGATTTGTAATGGTGTTCGCAGGCGTCGACGGACAATGGACGCTGTCATGGTGACGCCTCCGCACTTCCCTCCGTCTTTCTCGCCTCCCCGCACTTCCCTGACCATCCGTACCCAAACCCTCTCAGTCTCCTCTTCTTCGTCCTCGACCCCTCCCCTCGTATGGCCGCCTTGCCCTCCCTCCGCCGCCGCCGCGCTCACGCCGACGCCGCCCGCAGGCCCGAGCTCCGGCGCGGAAGATGAGGGCCATCGGCCCTGGCCCCGCCTGGTTTCTCCCCTTCCGTCGTCGCCCGGGGATCCCCCCTCGCCCGGCCTCTGTCCTCAACCACCTCCGCCACCGGCCTTGGCGGCCACGCCGGATCCTCGACCCCGGAGGCGACGCTGTCCTCCGCTGGAACCGCATATTCCTTGTCTCTTGCCTCGTGGCCCTTTTCGTTGATCCTCTCTACTTCTACCTCCTCTTCATCGGCGGCCCTGCCTGTGTCCGCATTGACTTCAATATCGGCATCATCGTGACCTTCTTTCGCACCGTCGCCGACCTCTTTTACCTGGGCCACATGCTACTCAAGTTCCGGATCGCCTTTGTGGCCCCCAGCTCCAGGGTCTTCGGCAGGGGCGAGCTTGTCACGGATCCCCATCAGATTGCTATGCGCTACCTGAAAGGCGATTTTTTCATCGATCTTATCGCCATGCTCCCCATCCCCCAGGTAGGTATTTATCGCGATCCACCTATCCGATTGTCTTTCTCTTCTTTTTTTGTGTTTGTTTCTTGCATTCCGCTATATTCTTGTCATCTTCCTTTCATTCAAAGAGCAAAAGCATATTATTATCATACACATTAATTGTAGTTTGTGCATAAATCATTAGCATAAGAATCCTTTACAAAGCGACTATTCAAGACTGCCCAGAAACCAAGGTGCTTTGGAACTCTCAAATTACAATTATAAGTTGTCTTACTCTATGAATGTTTCTTGCTTTAGGTGTGTATATCAAAGATTTCTCTGGTCCTGAACAAATTTTGGGCCCAAATTCCCTGTTAGCTAATTTACAACCAATTAGCCTGTTTGACTAATCAATCAACATATGAGAAAAATCTTGAGCTGTCTAACAATTTTGATCCTTTTAGACAGTGAGGGAAAGAAAAGAAATTCTTACATACTGTAGCTTAAAGTTGGAATATCGATTTTTTATTACATTTATGAATTGGGGAAATAAATTACATGGAAAGATGAAAAGATTATCAAGGAAAGACAGGTAGACAAATGAGATGAATTGGATTGAGGTTGTGCTCGGTCAATTGCTAAATTATGAATTTGGCTTGGATTTCTGTAGCTAGTTCCAGAAGTTCTAATTTAACTTCGATGTTGACTAAGATATTTTCTTTTTCTGTTTCCCACTATGGTTTATTTTGTATGTTTCTAGTTTACTTTTGATTTCATATCTGTGGTTTGGTTGGCATGATTTGGTTGGGACTATGATTTTGGATCCTTGATAACTATCTCTTTTCTTTTCATACCACCAAAGGAGGTTTAACCTTCGAATGTTAGAAATCCAACATGTTTTGTATGACATCTAAGGCCTTCAAATTCCATGATTTTGAATTTCCTGGTGTTTCTTTGAGTTTCAGATATTTTTATTGTACTTATTGGCCCCATATCGGCATAACACATGTTGACCAGAACCAAGTCGTTGTTGGATACTCTAATTGATCTCTACATTCATGAAAATAATCTAATATGTTCAAATGTTGTTGATTTTCTTATTCATTCACTTTAGGGAAAATATGACAACTTCTTTCTTTTTTACAGATAATAATCTGGTTTGTGATTCCAGCTGTGAGCAGCTCTTCGGCTAATCACACTAACAATACACTTTCATTGATTGTTTTCATCCAATATATTCCAAGGTTATTTCTCATTTTTCCTTTGAATGCACGAATCGTCAAGGCCACAGGAGTAGTTACAAAAACTGCATGGGCAGGAGCTGCATACAATCTCCTTCTATATATGCTGGCAAGCCATGTATGATTCTTTTTTCACTTATCCCTACTCAGTTACCACAGTATATTTTCCTGAGTAAGAAAATTGACCATTTTTTCCCCTTTACAGGTTCTGGGAGCTTTATGGTATCTTTTGTCCATTGAGCGCCAGTACACCTGCTGGATCACAGAATGCCTGGCAGAAAATGTCAGCACGACGACAATGCCAATTTGCAACCCTAGTTTTTTGGACTGTAGTAGCTTAGAGCTGCCTGAACGAAAGGCCTGGCGCAACAGTACCCTTCTGCTTAGTAATTGTGATGCCACGAATGATGGTATCAAGTTCAATTTCGGCATGTTTGCAGATGCTTTGACTAGTGAGATTGTTGCAGCAACTTTCATCGAAAAGTATCTGTATTGCCTCTGGTGGGGACTAAAAAATCTAAGGTGAATTTGATGAAGCTATATTCTGATTGCCTAAATCATTTTTGATAGGCCAAATCTTGTCTCATATCTTGCTCTTGAATTTAGATGGCTCTTTTATTTTCAAGTTTAGTGTAGCAAAGATGTGAAAAAGAACATAGTTCAGAGCAAAAAATTCCATTGGTGTTCAATAGCTCTATGTTTATGTTGATTAGAGCTGATAATTATACATAATTTTGAATAGTTCCTTGTACAAATGCATTAATAATGGGCCTCATAGTGTTTGGTAATGTCGACGTCTTTTCTAACTTTTGTGGTAAAACTATGCACACCCAAGTAGATTATTATAGTCTGGAGTCCACTTCATATTGTTATAAAAAAGAACTTTCATGCTTGACAATGACAGTATGGTAAGGCATGTTCATCCAATCATTTTCTTGAGTCTTATGGACTTTGCTGAAAAGAAGACAGGCTGTAGAAGGCAGGCATGTTCATCCAACCAGCTATAATATCAGATATTTGAAATTTGACACTTTGTATTTAAGGGATTTATAAATCATGAGTCTGTCTTCACAGTTCACTAAATAATTCATTTTATTTTGCTTATGTTTTAGTCAATTGACAATATTATTTTTTTGTCATGAAACTCAACTGTCTTTGCACTTCACTAGATAATTCATTTTATTTTGCTTATGTTTTAGTCAATCGACAATAGTATTTTTTTTGTTGTGAAACTCAACTGCCTTGTGACTTCATTTTGTGCATTAGTGTTCTCTTTTTCATTGGAAAAGATTGACTAGAGTGCATTATTGATTACATTTTTATGAACTTAATTAGTGCTTTATCTTGTTTCTGTTCAGTTCATATGGACAGAATCTGGGAACAAGCACTTATATTGGAGAAACAACATTTGCCATTCTCATATGCATTATGGGTCTTGTTCTGTTTTCACATTTAATTGGAAACATGCAGGTACCATTTATTATCACAAAAGATGATCCATTTCTGTTAACTTTCTTGAGCTACACATGCTTATGTACTTAATTTAATTGCTTGCTATTGGTGAATATATTTGAGTTGATAAGGTTGTTCATTTTTCTGTAAAAAGATGTTAAACCTGCTTATCTAAATATGTAGATCTTTTCTCATTACTCTGAATTCGCACATATTTATGCATTTGACATATGACATATCAGTGGATAGCTTTTGGCCTGCATGTTCATTTTCCTTGTTCCAGGTCTGCAGCATCTAGTTATCTGTGTTTTTGATTCTTCATTAGTCTTGATAATTCATATGTGGATATATGTTATGCTTCATTTTGTCCTTTTGCATTGTCCATAAAGTTGGCTTTAATTAATAGGAGTCACTTTGTCCTTTTACATCTTTGTCATAATAATAAAGTGACTCGTTTTACATTTTTGGCTTTAATGCATGCTCACTTTGTCGTCAATTTTTATCTGTCATAGATAACAATTGAACAGAATGTTATCAACTGAAAGTATTACTTTGTAATACAGAAAATATTTCATTTGGTAAATATATTTCAGTTGGTGATAAATAAAGTATTTCTTACCCACAAGGTATTACTAAATTTTTTATGGAGTGGCAAACCTGGTTCAATTATTAATGGGATAAAGAAGTGGAGGACACATTTCTATATGAAAATTATTTTGATTCTGCTGGATGTTGTAGAATCATTCAGAAAGCTAAACTAAGGTGAAGTTGTGTCACATCATTTTATATACTAGTCTTTGAATATGTGGGGTTAATTCTCAGATCGAGGATCAGATGTAGAAGACTTGAAATTATTTCATCATTAGGATTAAAGCCTCTTCTAGGATATACTTATCATCAAACTTGGTTCTTCTAAGATCACAACTATAAATCTGTACAGATCTTAGCAGAATAACATTTCTGCCCAACAATACGTTAGAATGACTTCTCAGATATGCACTTATTTTTTTGTGTTCTTGATAGTTTATGTGACATTGGTATTGTAAGCATCAGAATACTCAAGGTCTAGATATCAGGTCAACCAATTTGCTTGCTTACATTATGGTTTATTGGAGAATCTCATAATGGTTTCAATTCTTTTGTTTCTTTCACAGGTTATCTATTTTGTAAAATAAAAGTTATTTTTGTAATGGTCAGTGGCCCATTTCATGTAACATTTAAACTTCTGCAGCTGAGAATGATTATTCTGGATATGACCAAGTGAAACCTGCTTTTCTATTGCTGGTATCTCATTGCACTGAATTCACTTCATAAATTATATATTTTCGTATCAAGTTTATCGATAAGTTGTTTAGTGTGAAGATGATAATTGCATATAAAGTCCTTTATCTATCTTGTTTCTTAACTAATTTATGTTTACCTAGTTGCATAATCCATTGTTCTTTTTTCTTCTTCTACTTCCAGACATACTTGCAGTCTATTACCGTTAGACTTGAGGAATGGAGAGTCAAGCAAAGGGACACTGAGGAGTGGATGAGGCATCGTCAACTTCCGCCTGACTTACAAGAACGTGTTCGGCGTTTTGTACAATACAAGTGGCTCGCTACTAGAGGTGTAGATGAAGAATCGATTTTGCAATCTTTGCCTTTGGATCTTCGTCGTGAAATTCAACGACATTTATGTCTTGCTCTTGTTCGTCGAGTGAGTGTGGCCCTTTATTCTTACATTTTTCCCCGTTTTCTTTCATTTCATCGAACTATGATAAAAAGTTTCGGCTTTATGTTTAGATTACAGGCTTTCTACGGGCACATAGCTTTGTGCAGTTCTTCGACGATCAAATATAGACAATTCATGCAAAGTGGAAATAACCTCATTAGCAAACCCTTCTGCTGCAGGTCCCATTTTTTTCACAGATGGATGATCAGCTACTAGATGCTATATGTGAACGACTGGTCTCATCCCTGAGCACCAAGGATACCTACATTGTCCGGGAGGGTGACCCAGTCAACGAAATGCTTTTTATTATCCGAGGCCAACTTGAAAGCTCTACAACCAACGGCGGTAGAAGTGGTTTCTTCAACTCAATCACTCTGGGACCTGGGGATTTCTGTGGTGAAGAGTTGTTGACATGGGCTCTGATGCCCAACCCAAGCGTGAACTTTCCCTCATCGACTCGAACAGTCCGTGCCCTCAGTGAAGTTGAAGCGTTTGCGCTTCGAGCTGAAGATCTCAAGTTTGTAGCAAGCCAATTTAAGCGCCTCCACAGCAAGAAACTGCAGCATGCTTTCAGGTTCTATTCTTACCAATGGCGGACATGGGGAGCTTGCTTCATACAAACTGCATGGAGGCGGTACAAGAAGAGGAAATTGGCAAAGGAGCTGGCTGCACAGGAGTACCTCTATTATGATCAAATGGTGGATGATGATGAGAGCCTGGTCATTGAGCCTGACGGGGCTCCTTTGCTTTTGGATTATGCTGATGGCGTCGAGGCCCCGTTAGCTGAAACAGAAGCTGGGAGCAATTTTCAGCATCTGGGGGTGACGATACTTGCTTCAAAATTTGCCAAGAACACAAAGAGAGGTCATCAGAAGGTCACTCAGCTGACTCAGGCTGCCACTAGCATCAAGTTGCCAAAGCTGGCGAAGCCAGATGAACCTGATTTCTCCATGAACAACAACGACGGCGACATGTGACATCTCTGGTAATGCTGTTAGATTGTAAAAAATGTCCATAATTAACTAGGAAATTTTCAAGGCATTTTGATGTAAAAGTAGCAGTGTATCCAAATCTAAAATTGCTCTCTCTTTTGTGTTGACTATGAGCTAACATTTCTTTTACTTCTCTGATGGAAAGACTACCAATTCACTGTAAGCTTAGGTTTTACATGAGAAACAGATCAACAGCATATCAGGGGATCGCTCACATTTTTCACATGGTGGCTGGCTTTTGTATTCATCTTGTATCTTGGAAATATTCCACACAAAGTATTAGATTTATCTCTTAAATCTCGGATGTATCGTGCATATTCCTCTTAATAAGTGAAAAATCTATCGGCTTTGTGATAGGGGCTGTTAGGTTTTTCTGTTTGGATCTATTGGTTCGTTCCGAGTTTTATAACTATGATATGGTTATCTCTCATATTTTTCAGTTAAGACATCAGTATGAAGTTATTAGATGACTTGTGCCAAACAGAACAATCCTCTGATAGCAACACACCGAACACCAACATCTTTGTTTCCTGTTGTTTCTAATGACTGATGCTCCTACTGTGAGGTAATGATCTCACAAACCCAGACAAACTCGAGGATGAAGATGAAAGCAAATAGAAAGAAGACTGGAGGGGGATGCTTTCTTTTCCATCAGGAAGAGTACAACTGCCTTCTACCTCTGATGAGTCATTGTGGTGGAAATCTTTGGCTTTGCTACCACCAGGATCTTGCAAGCTTCCATCATGTTCCAGCTTCTCAGCTCCAAGCATGAAGTCATCCAAATCTGTCAATGATTTCAACTGCCGGTTCAAAGAGGCTATCGTCTTCTGGCATTCTTCCAATTTCCCAGCAGCCACAGCAAGTTCTTTCTCCTGCTACACATAACATGATAACATCTACTAGTTAGTTAATGAGGTACAGCTTTAACCTGCATATAGTAAGTGAACAAATGATTCACCTGTTTTATCTTCAGTTCTGGATTGGGGTTTGCAGCTCTCCGGAGATGAGCTTCTTGCTTGATCTTCGACAAATCAGCCTCCAATTTATGACACTTAGCTGCAAATTCTGCAGAAAGGGCTCTTTCCTCATCAATTTTTGCTTCACACAAAGCCACCTTATCGCTCAGCTTCCCGGTTTCTCCGAGTGCTGAATCAAGTTGAATTTCTAGTGCCTTTTTTGCTGCTTCTATAGCCTCTGCTTTAGTGGCAAACTCATGTGCTGATTGAAGCTCAAGCTCCAGTTTCTTTCTTGCTGCCTCTGTAGCTTCTAGTTTAATTGCAATTTCTGCAGATAATTTAGTCTCCTCCTCTGCTTTCAGTTCCCAAAAGTTAACCTTCTCCTGTAGCTTACTTGCTTCGGAATGTGCGTGTTCAAGCTGAGACTCCAACGCCTTCACTTTTGATGCCAACTCTGAAGAAAATGCCCGTTCCTCCTTTACCTGTTGTTCTAATACTCCAATAGTCTCATTTAGGCTGCTAAGTTGTGAATGAGCTGATTCTAGCTGAGAGTTCAGTGCCTCTCTAGCAGCCTCAGTATTATCTATTGAAGCTTTGAGTTCGAAAGATGATTCCCTCTCAGATTTAGAACTTTCTTCCAACAAAGATACCTTCTCGCAAAGTTTTCCATTTTCCAAGTACGCTGACTCCAGCTGAGTCTCCAATTCCTTCCTCTTTCCCTCCAAGTCCATAAACTCGCTCATGGCAGTTTGTTTTGATTCATTCTCCATGTCCAGTTTGGTTTGCAGTTCAACCACTTTGCTCTCAGCTGCTGTCACCAGACTGCGAGATGCCTCGAGCCGATTACATGATTCAGTCGAAGCTATCTCCAGTTCTGCTTTCTCATGTTCCAGTCTCTCAACCTTTTCTTCTAGTTCGATCAACATATGATGCATGAACTCTTTGTCAACTTCTAGGAGGTTATATCTCCTAACAAGTTGGTTGGAATCAGCTTCTGGTTCAAGATCAGAATTTTCAGGATCAGTCTCAGGCAAAGCAACGAGTTTCTCCATCTCAAGGAAATCATCCATGAGCTCAATCTCTACAGGACATCTGGTGAGGATCCTTGAATCTGCCTTCTCACTCTTGAACTGATCAAGCTCAGCAATTAATGCAGATGCCCATGAATCTGAGCATCCAGGTCCGTTATCTATACCACCGAGGGACCGCTCCCCGCTATCTGATTGACTGTCAGTGAGAGATTCCACGCAAGCTAAGCTTGAAATGGGCTTGTGAACACTTGCAGAAGATGATCTACGGTTTGCAATCTGCAACCTACTACATTCAGCTTCAAGCTTAGTGACCTTTTTTATGCTCTCTAAGTGCTGCTTGCTAGCTGTTTCTGCTGCTTTATTGCTTAGCTCCCTCTCCAACAATAAAACCTGGATATCTTCAGATTGAGAGCGGAGCTCAGTCTTCAGAGCCATGTTTTCTTTCTCAACAGCTTCAAGTCTTGCTTTCAATCCATGATCAAATGTTCCAGCTTTGGTCTTTGCAGCTTCAAGCTGTGCTGTGAGTTCCACAAGTTGTTTCTCAAGCACATGCTTCTCAGATCCCCACATTTGTGTCTTCTCGGATATGGAATAACGAACTTTCTCCTCCTCCTCTTCTCTCGATTGATGGAGCTGCCTGACACACTCCTTGAGTGCTCCATCCAGTTGGCTAATTTTATCTTCAAGGGCAGAGTTCTTCTGGAGTGTGGTCTGAAGCTGCTGCTTCAGGGCTACAACTTCGGCTTCCGCCTGTTCCCAACCTATCAAATTTCATAGTTCAGAGTACGAATCAGTGAGATATCAGTAAACTTAGTTGTTGATGTGCTTCGATCTCGTAAAACATGCTCAGTGATGGATGTGCTCATTTGTTTGTTCTTATAATAAGGAAGAGATCGAAAACATGCTCAGTGACTCGTATAGTCTTGATGCCAAAGGTTGCCATAACTTCGTATCATTAGGTATCAACTAGTTTATTCATTATAGAGTTAGAGATTATGCATAGAGAAAAGCTAATGTCATTAGATCGCAAAACATGTCACAACACCTGCTTCATTGTCAAACTAGAAAATAAAAATTGAAAACAACTCTTTAAAACTTTAAAACCACGATTAAGGGAACTAAGACATCGGTATATGCTAAGAGTAAACCTTTCCTAACATAAAATGAGAGTGCGACTATGGGAGAAAAGCAAGGAGTACAGAACTAAGTCTAGCCTATCCCTGTATGATGTGCATAAGTTTTGTATCTTGATTAGCATTCTTAAGCAGGCATAAAATATTGCAAAAAGCATGGTTGATCTTTCTGTAAACCTGAATCAATAGATATCTGTTTTAAGGAGGCATTCTTAATTTATGTGCTAGTAGTTCACTATGTCATTTATCTTAACCTCTTCAAATCTACAGCAGTAGCTCTTCTTACTTCAAGGGACTGCTAGATCTAGAGCCAATTACCTGAAACAGCTTCTTCTGCAACTTTAGCATGCTGCTTGACAAGATCCTCTTTGGCACTTATCTTCAGAAGAGCAACTGATAGTTTCTCTGTCAATCTCTTCACAGTTTCATGAACTTCACCATCAGAGGCATTGCATAAAACCTCTCGCGACTGCGCTTGGCTGACTGAAGCATCATTCGGAGAAGCCCTCGATAGCTCCTGTTTTACAATCAACATAACAAATTATTACTTTGAGATTTATCCCCAAGCACACAAATCCTTAGTTTTCCGAAGCACATATGAATAATCTAGTCGGTTGGATTTGCAAAAACATTTATGTAGAGAGTATGAAGAAATTCCTCGACATCTTTCATCCTAATTTTGAGACTTCAACCAACATACCTACTAGCCCTAGGTTGCTTGAACTTGGCCCGGCTAACAAAATCTAAGCTCTTCAGCTAAAGCTCGAGATGAGAGTGTTCAGTCACAGATCGGTAGGCCAAATTACATGAGTTTCCTAACAGCAGAAAAATGTTAGAAAAGCTTTGTAACAGCTTGATGATCGATCGCGATTAGTCTTGCGGGGAAAAAGTGACCTCATCAATGGTGAACAAATTCTCTTTTCCAAGAATTACTAATGATTATATGCTGCAATCAGTCTATTCTGAATTTTTGAGTCAGCTGTCAAAGGAACAATAAGATCCTCTAAGATCCAAATCACAATAATTTCATAGCACTCTCATATTGAGTTTGCCTTCATGATGATACAAACCTTTCCCTGTTCACAAGGAAGATCTACAATGCAATATTTACTTCAGGCACTATTCTGGATTCCTTCATCATCTACAGAGTTCGGAAATCCGTAAACTGAAAGAAAAACTAGAAGAAGAATCAAAGAGGGCAGCAGACGACAAACCTGGTCGTCCGAGTACCTCTCAGAATGAGAGGATACAGATGTCGAACTCTCGGTCTCTCCGGGGCTCTTCTCCGATGACTTCCGCCTCCAGAGCCAACTCCGGCGATCCATTCTACGATGTCAACCGTCTAATCAACCATGTCTGAATGCCACCTTCCCAATTCTGTAGTAGCTCCAAATCCCTAGAAATTTAAACACATGACTCCTGCGAACAGAAAGAAGTGCTGTTCAAAGATTCGAACATGGAAACTACAATATACGTCGCAAAATGCGGCTCAGAAGAATCAAACATTAACATCCATGAATTTAATTGCCCAAAAGTTCAAACTTTCTTGACACTCGTATCTAACGACTTGAGAGTAAATGCCAGAATCATCCAAGATCGCATCTTTTCTACACATGATAGAATCACAATACAAGGAAAAGCAAACAATCCATCGGAAAGTAAAGATAAAATCCAAGAGAGATGATGATCAAGCCTGAGGAAACCTGCACATCATCCCAAAATGTCGTCTTTCGGGACCAATATAGTCACGTTCAGAATGGACGAGAGAGCACGCAAGAAAAAAGTAGGGCACGAAATCGTCGTGGGTTCTCGATATTTACTCTCTGTTTTCCTGAAGTGTTCTCGATCGCGTCGTTTTCTTCCCCAGATTCGAGATCTTTCCTGCATGCAGAGGCTAAACTCACCTCTCCGAGGCAGCGCATGCGATTGGGAGAGGAAAGTAGCGTCCTTGGCGACACTCCGCAGCTCTACTCCACTTCGTTTCCGAGGATCACTCCCGTTTTCCTAAACTCTTTCAAATCGGCGCCGGCACTATTCCCGCCCTCGGGCGCAGGGATTGCACCCCTTGCCGCTGTTCCTCCCCCGCTGCTTTGTCCTTGTATCATTAGCTCTAATTATAAGCTTAGCCCAAAGCTAACAGCTGTCAGTCTCAACTCCTCTGCTTGTCTTGTTTTGTCGCTCTCCTAATCTCTCTGTTTTATATTGGTTAATAAACTACAATTAGAGGAGACTGCTAACCTGTTGTACTGTTCCTAAACAGGGTTTTAGATAGCTACATGAGACTTGCAGATGAGAGATTAAGGAGGGAGGGCCAATAATATGTCTGACACCAGTCAGCACTCACTATGATCTGTGTCTTACAGTCAAGATTGCTATATGACTAATTTAAATTGACAAACAGGCCATGATCTTTGTTTCTTGGGATCTACTTTCTCATGTTAAGCATGAGAACAAAGAGGAGCAGATGTCAAAGTTTGCCTGCTTGTGTCACTACATGTGTCATGGATCTTAAGAACTTGATCTTACTAAGAAGAGTGTACTGTGTAAGGTTTGGATGTTTATGAGCTGCTGCTAATTGGTGACAGGCAAATCTTATCTGCTAAATCAACTTTGTGAGCACTGAAAAATTGCAGATAGCATTTCATTTCCATATGATGGAGACCATTATGGCATATTAGATACACCTTGCAGATCTGACAACTCACCTCTTTCTCTGGCTGAGATTTCCCCTTCCACCTAACTCATCATGTTGTCAGCATAAAGTTTCAAGGCAATTAGATGTGTTCTTGCTGGATCTGAATGTTCTTTCTCCCTGGCATCTTCTTTTACTGCACATTTGGAATGTATGCGTCTGTTTGGTGGTTCAGGCATCTCTATTCCCTCCTTTTCTACCTACCAGTCACTTCAGGAGGGTAAAACTGAAGCTAAGAACAGGCCTCTGCTACACTTCTTCCACACAGAAGAATAATTCCTCTCTGCAGCTTTAAGATGGCATGAATGTGATGCAGGTAAGTAGTAATAGAGCTTTGTGGAGCCAATGTTGCAGTGGCACCACTGCTGTAGCCATCATTGGATGGATGGCTGGTGAACTTGAAAGGTGGCCCTATCACTAACAATGGCACTTGTTCTACATCTGTTTTCTTAGATCTGTTGGTCTGTGTTATGGTCATGCAGTCTCTCTACCACCAGAAGTTGATAATGATGAATGTGCAGTGATCAAGTGAGATTACAAGAGGAAAAAGTCAACAAAACTATGCATGAGTTATGAAAAGCCTAAGATAAAGTGGCTGCACAGTCAACTGCACTATGATTTCATACACAAATATGATTTCTTGCTCCTTATTCCAACATTGCAAGATCTCATGATTTGTTCGTTATTGAATTTGTCATGAGAGTCAAGCAGATATGTACCGTAGGAGTTCAATGATTTGGAAAGTTTCTCTTCTTTTTTTCTGAAAACCTATTCTGACAAGAGCAGAGTTGGTACCAGTGGACCTCTATGCCAGAAGAGCCCCCAGGAACTTTATGGTTGCCATGGCCACTGTGAAATGGATATGAATGTACTAATTTAAGGATCACACAGAGAAAAAGACACTGAACTTTTTGTCCCCACAATCACCTTTAATAGTAGCAAAGTGGTCTACACTTCACACACAAATCCATCCAAGTCAATAGCAAAGTAGGTTGTGTGGTGTCTTTAAGCGAATTTATCCTTCAAAGTAAAATATGGGATTGAGAAGGACAAATGTACACAACCTTATCATTGATATTGAAGAGATTTACTTTTACTACTCAAACTCTAATCAATTAGGTAGTACAAAAAATATATTTTATTCTCATTGAAGTTACAACTGGTAAAAAGATTATTATACTCCCCAAGTACTTACCAACTGGATTTCAAAGATAAATCTTAGAAAAGACGAACAGAGTTCCAGCCCTCTACAGTCACTAAAATTCCATGATGTGAATGACATGAATTGGCATGTCTTAGACATCACTTGTTTCTCTGAAATCATTCAAGCATGACAAATATATCTAAACGATCATCATCAGGTTCCAACTACACTAGTTTGGATCTTCATCTCATCGACCAAGTCAAATATGTTAAGATGTCCAGCCTCACCCAATTACTTTAGATGCATAGGCTCCTTGTTCAGCCTGACATCAGCTGGAATTTGCTTGATTTGCTTAACAAGCCAGCGATTCTTTTAGAGATCAGATTTCCTCGTTCTTCCAATTGCTCACAAGGGTCGACAACTTTTTTTTGGACATGCTACTTACTGCTCAGCAACAGCCAAAATTGATACAACGACATCAAATGTTGTATGGCTGTGTGCAGTTTCTCACACAGCCATTAACGTATTATTGATCAACCAAATCAGCAACAGCAAACGTGCCACTGATTTAAGCCACAGTTTGTGCTGAAAATGGTAGAGGATTACTTGAGATGTTCTTGGTTTGAAGGCATAGATTCCTTTTCTGGTGCAGGTTGGCTGACATTAGTACTGTTGACTTCGAGTTTCTTCTGTTCCATTTCTCTCTGTATCATCGCCTGCTCCTGCATTACCTTCAACATTTCTTTGGCTTGCTTTTCGTCTTTCTGAAGTTGCATATTCATGATGATCTCCGCACTCTTGTCAATTGGTTTGAAGTACTCTTCTATCGCGGCTTCCTACAAAAGAGACATTTTAACAAGGATTATAGCTTCTACCATCCAACCGAGAGAAGCAATGAATATTAGCTATTCTTAATGAATTTAGCATTCCTTCTTTCGGCAGCTCAGTATCATAATCAACCAACAGAAAAATACAAGGCAGAAATATATATAAGAACATGTATGCATGCTTAGGTAAATCCATGCGAGTTCTCCAGGCATGAGATTTATCGATTCATCTTGTCAACTTTAGTCCATCCTCTAGGGCTATCTTATTGTTCAATGGTTTGTCATTACGTACTGTCTGGAAATTAATAAGCTATATGCACCTACACCTGTGTCATATACCTAAAACCTATGTGCCATTATATGCCTGTCTTTTTCCATCATATGTTTTCGGTTTATCAGAACTGTTGCTGCTTACTATTTTTCAACTTTAAATAAGATATATTCAAGTTGTTTATCATGTGCATTTGTAATCACAGTGTAGTATGTACTGCAGCATTAAGTATCTAATCCAGTTGCAGCAACATGACTTATTAATCTTTAGATGAGACTTACATTTGAATGAATGATGGTAGCCTAGACTAATTCTCCAGATGGAAACTATCCAGACACTTACGCATCTTATGTAGGTGAAATGAAGGGGCCTACAGCTTGTTCAATTCCCCAAAGCAAAATGAATTTAGAATGGGGCTAAGGTAAACTAAGAAAAATAAAGAGAAAAAGGAAAAGGGTCTGTCTCGTATCCTCAAAGTCACATATAAAAGTCAGATATTTCATGAAGTAAACCCCTTTTATGTCCGATTACAATATCCATCAATCAGCACAATAAACTTCTTAATGCATCTTAGCTGAACATCACTTAAGATAAATTTGAGTACTACTATCACTATGACTCTTTTTGGAACTAAAGGCTGCTAAATAGAGTTACATATAGAGCACTGACCAACAACTTTGAATACTCTTTAGGACCTAAATTAAATCTAAAACAGAAAACAAGACTATTAAAAAATTCCTACATAAAGACAGCAACCGGAACCGGAGGGATTATAATCTTGTCCAAAGAACATAGTCAATGACCACTAAAAATGAAAATAAACTACAGCTAAACTGTATCCATTGGCATCTACTGCATAGACCAAAACCTCAAGCCCATATGGATTTTTTTAAAAAATGATCCATGAAGAAATCATAATGGTTCAAAGATCTTTGAAATCTACATTTCTAGGATCTTTGAAATTATAGAAGAAAAATATTATGGTAAAAATTTATTGCTATCATTTATTTGTAGCTTCAAAGGTGTTAATCTAACAAAAATATTTCCAACCACAATTATTTTATCAAAGTGAAGTGAGATCAATCAGTAACATCGTGTAATAATTGCTTCTTGAACTAATATACTATCAGGTCACAGGTGGACAATAACTTTTTGATAGCATTGTATCTGAAAAGAACTTCAGATGCACCAGAAGCCCATTGTAAGAATATTTTATCACCAAAGCTATCAACAAATGCATTTTCAGGAAAATTCATCTAATATAATAAGCATTTTAGTCAGTTTTCACATGATGCCTAAATGAATGCTTCCAGGCATGCCATCCAACACAGCTGCTATCTCAGACGTATTATTGAAACTCTAGAACTAGAAACCTACGCCATGACCATTGTGCTAGAGTATACTATAGAGCGGAAAACAAAAAATACTTTTCCAACGTGTTTTTTAACCCACCTGCCTTGCCCACCAACCTTGTGATTGGATGTAGCAAATGACTCAACAGATAGGTCCTGCATGTACCTCATCACTGCCTCAGATCACATGACAAAGGTAGGCGAGAGAGGCATGTGATAAATGGTTAGAAAAATAATTGCTCAAGAAAAAAGAAAATACAACAAATCTCTGATGTTTCCTATGACTTAAGGATACTTGTTTCTAGTAGTGGTTATTCTTTCTCTTTCAAATGTATGATCAATAAACATTACTAAATACATGAACACTTTGCAACAGAACATAATTCTTGAGCATATGTGAAGTTGAAAACTTCCCTTGATGAATCATGCATTGGAAGAGATGTTTAAATGCATTCGAATATCAAAAGGAATAAAGGATAAATATGTCAAAGTATGACTTACAGTTTCTACCAGCTGACGATTGAGTGCTTGCATCTGCTCAACCATGCGCCGAACTTCTGACAGGATGACCTGCTCTGGAATTGTTCTCAGATCTGCCTTCCTAGCTTGCGCCTGGATAATATAATAGATCATAAGCATTATGGAACAAGTAAATCTATAGAAAAACTACAATGATCCAATAAGAGAATTCCACTACTGTTAGTTATTCATATCAAAGTAGGTTGAGAATCAATCATACAACTCCAAATGGGCCCCAGATCCTTGTATAGCATATTTAAAATTTCTATTTCTACACCTTCAGCATCTTGCTTAATGA